CTTACTATTGTAAATGGTTAAAGTATATTAATAATGTTGCTTATTAAATGCTTACTGTGCTTTCAATGCCCAGGTTAAAGTTCTGCATACCAAAGAATGAATGTGCTTGGTTTAATTTGTAAGCCTAGATAGTATTATAGTATCATTGCACTGATTAGAATTAATCAAGAATACTAGAACAAATGTATGCTAAATCTGAATTCTAAAACTTCAAAGTAATTATATTGCTTTTAAATCTGCCTAGTATTTACTTATTTGTTTGTCTGTAAAAAGTATAATAAAATCAGTATCTCAAACCTAGATAACACAGTTGAGTCATTTAGACTATTATCAAACATAAGTCACTAGAGAAGCGATTCAATCAATAGAGAAGTTTTCTAATTAGCATATTAATTATTTGCAAATAAAAGGTGGTTTCAGAGTACTCCAGGGAACTTGAATACATTGCAGTTTGTCTTTTTATTCTATATATCCCTATGAAATATTTTTACATTGTTACTTTCCAACAATCTAAGGGAAAAGGTTTTGCTAATCAAAGGAAAACTTTACCCCAGCTTCTGCATTAATTATCACATATTCTAAACTGGTAGATCATGAATTAATGAGGTCTAGGCTCCTCCTAAATGACATGGATTAAAAAAGAGCTGGACTTGACCATGTATGTATTCTAGTGAAGATGGAAGTATATGTGCATATTGGCTGCCAGGGAAATAAAGTTACGAAGTATGCGATTAACCCTGTGTGGGCCTTACCCCCTATCCATAAACATCTTAATTACCTTCTACACATCACTGAAAAGGGGCTACTGTAAAGATGCAAACTATTTTTTCTGGATCAGTCACTTTTGCACATCGGATTTCAGAGTATACAAATGACTGCCTAGAAGAAACAGAAGTTCCCTCCAAAAAGCCAGATGCCAGCAAAAAAGAAAATAAGAAGTAGAGGTGTGATCTATTAAGTAATCTTTTAAGTCTGTTGCTAAATGATCATTAGGCTGCAATTAGGCAGCTCAGGTTTTATTTTTATAGAGTTTTTGATATTTCTAAATGACTTGCTCTGAGTGCCATGAGGGGATGGTGGCGTCAAGGTCCAATATCCACTTTGTTTTGCGTTCTTTCCCCTCCCACTCTCTAATCTTCTAGTTCTTTCCTGATTGAATACCACACCTGCTATTTTAAAATTCACTGTCTATGTGTGCCCTACTTCTTTGTCCTTTTGATTTACTTCTTGACATCCACAAAATGACCCAGCACAGTTGATTACTACCTGCCATGTAGTTCCCCTGTATTTGGACTGCTCAGAATTCAGCAGCTTCACCATATTTCTCAAAGTTATGCTACACGGGGCCCTTTCCCTCCTTGACCTCTGGCCATTTTGCCTCCTAAGAATCCTGTATTTTGCATCTGAGGTTTTGCTTGTAATATTTTTTTCATCATATTTTTTAGATTAAGTAAAGTCTAAAATATATATACATCATTCATCCCTCATTCACTTAAACTTTATCAAATTCTTATCCCATATAGCATTAGAATAATAACAGCATGTTAATTATAAGAAGACACATTTGTCCAGTACCATTTTTACAAGGTCAAAATTACTACCTTGAAACTGGTTCTGATTTTTTAAGATTTTATTTATTTATTCATGAGAGACACAGAAAGAGACATAGGCAGAGAGAGAAGTCGTCTCCATGCAGGGAGCCCGATGTGGGACTCGATCCTGGGACTCCAGGATCACACCCTGAGCTGTAGGCAGAGGCTCAACCACTGAGCCACCCAGGCGTCCCATGGTTCTGATTTTTTTTTTCATGTGAATGAAGTAAAGATGATTTTTAAAATCTTAACATAACAAAATGGAAAGGGAAAAAAAACACAGATTCTATGAATGAATCCATCCTCCAGTGAACTTTCCTTTTTGCCCACATTCTTCATGCAGCCAGCAGGCATAAAGCTTCCACCTTCTCTGTTTTTACACTATGACTGTGAAATCCCGAATTGAAGTCTACACAGAGGAAAAAGATCAACAAATGGCATAATTCTGATTTTTAAAGTGCTTCTATTTTTTAATTTTAAAATAATTTGTCTCGCTCAGAAATGCTTCTAGAAAAATATTCAAGCAGAAGAGGGAAGCCTATGCTATCTTTTGCAGACTTTTGTGGTGTGCTGTAGATGGATTCTTCATGCATCACAGTAACAATAACAATAGTGATAACAATAGTTATAATAATAATAGCAGCTGATACCTATTAATACCTTACTAAATGCCAGGCACTGTTATAAGTGCTGTGCGCGTGATGACTTAATCCCTACAACACCCTATGAGGTAGTCACTGTCATTATCCTCATTTACAGAAGAAACTAAGGTATGTTGAGATTAAGCAGTTCACAGCAACTAACGGAGCCTGGATTTAAACCCAGGCAGTCTGGCTCCAGCACTGACAATCTTCACCACTGGCAATCCTGCCTATCACGAAGTATTAAATAAGAATTGCTAAGTTATACATTCAATAGTCCAGAGTTCGTTGGAGTTTTTTAAACCATGATTTTCACACAGAAGTCTATCCCTCTAAAAAGCTAACACTAAATATGAGTGGATCACAGTAATTTTAGTAATTTTGCATATTGAGTTTTTAACAAGGACACACCCTGCCAAGCTGATACAAAATGAGCTGGGTGATGGCAAATCTCGATGTTCTAACACACTTAGAAACACTGCTTAAATTTGCATCACTTTAAAAGCTCATTACCAAATAAGCAAAAAAAGAAAGAAACAAAGAAAGAAAGAAAAGAAAAGGAAAATAAAAAAAAGAAAAGAAATATTTGACATTTTGTATCTGTGATATTAAAAAGAACTAATATTTAATATTCAAGTGGCAACAGCTTGTAGAGTTTCCACACAACGCCCACAGGGATCGATTTTTCTTTAAAATGGTCTTTAGGAGTCTGTCTTTTAAACAGCTGACACCTCCATTCTCTGAATCCCTCTTTCCTGCCAGCACCATGGGGCACACACTGAGTGCAGCCGCAGACATGTAATTCTTCACTGCAGGATTTGTCTATGCAAATAATGGAGAATATGAGAAATTAAGAAAAATGTAATTTCCACTGAATCGACCTCAGTGTAATCTCTACTACTAAAAATGAATAGATGTCTTCAGAGGGCTTTTCTCCATATGCTCTCCCAATCCCCTTTATATACTATCCAGGAGAAGAGAAGAATTGTCATGGCCTAATTGATCATCAGTTATTCCACACCTGTACCAAGGCTATCTAATGACAAGTATACGATTGCCTGGCATTTTTCCAGGATGACTAATTGTCACAGTACTCATTTACTCACCTGTGGAATTTTCAACTCCCCCCCCCCACCCCCCGCCTGCTGTCAGGAAGATGCATAGTAATGGAATAAAGGTTTAAAAATGCTGAACACCATGAAATTCTTCACTGATATTCCAATAGAAAGCTTTCACTAAACCGCATGTTCGGTTGACTATAATTACTCATTGCTGGAGTAAAAAAAAAAAAAATCAGAACACTGGTCATATATACATTTACTTGGTAGAATAATAGGAGACAAGTGAACAAATCTTTTTTGTTCACTAGAAAAAAACATAGAGAAAAAAACAATTCTCATCAGATTACCTAAAACAGGTTTCTTTATCTGCATTTATTCAGTGAAGCTACCAAGTTAATTACTATTACGTTCTACATTACTAAGCGCTTCATTTTTAGTGCTAGTATTATCTAAGAAAATAGTTTTCTCACATCGAATAGTACAATGAAGGAGTAATTTGTTGGATTTCCAAGAAATGTGGAAAAGTTTAGGATGGAAATATAGGTATGTATTGCTCTAATTACAAGAAATAGTAAACCACACTGTAACATCTTTGCTAGACAGTCTGGCCCAAGGATTTTTTTTTCCCCAAGGATTTTTTTAATGCGAGGTTATGATCTTGAAAATTAATATTTGTCATGGAAAATCATTATACACCAGTATAAGAGCTGACTTTTCTGGAGATCTTGTAGTCGACTCTCCTCACTGTGATACAGACATATATTTAATGTACCTGTGAAAATTACCTAGAAATTATTTGACTAGTTTTTTTATATATCCTTGATGACTTATGATACAAGTAAAATTTAGAGATGAAAGCCCAGGATTTCCTACAGAAACTTAAACAGAATTGCTCACTTAACTCCTATATTCTGCTATATACAAATTCTATAGGTTGTTCAGTAACCCATCCTATAGTGTTATTAGGTCATATGAGGGGGAGAAAAGCCTCCTGGTCAAGTTTGGGAAACCCTTTATTAAATGGAGGCTTGCATCATTGTTATAAAACTTTCCTTCAGAAACTTCAGTATGCTAGCATGCATTCCGAAGAGAAGATGGTGTGTGGTTTTGTTTTTTTTTTTTTTTTTCCAACCTTACTTGATCTGGGATAGACCCTACAGGCCGGTGTATTCCCACCCAACACATCTCTGAAGCCAAGAGTCTGAAGAACAGGCTCTGTCTTGACTTAGGCTGATGCATCACAGGTACTCAGTACACTCTAGTGAAACTTCAACGTTATCCACTTTCAATCGAACCGAAATTGTCTGTGATATTCTTTGCCTCAGACTTGTTCATGGGGATAAATATGCAAATGGAATCAGAAACACAGACTCGTTCCTTCTAACTAGATCTCGGCCCACATACGCGAGAGGAAAAAGAGTAGTGAAATAATCGACTCTGGCATGTTGACCTACAGCAACGCTATGCCTTAAAATAGGATTTTTAAGTGATAGAAAAGGAGAAAGGAAAGCAGCAGCTTCCGACTCGGCACATGCCTTCCATTTAGCATATCTGAAAGAACGGTTTCCTCACTTCAAAATTGATAGCCAACTTATTTTTGTTGTTTTGCTATTCAAATTTCTGTCCTCTTTTTCCAGAGCTTATTTGCTCTAACACTGAATTTTAAGCATCTCTAAAAATGTTTGATATGTTATTATTCTTTCCAGATATCCTCTGAGAGCCAAGCAAAGAACATTAAGGAAGAAAGGAGGAATGATGCTGGAAACAGTGCAGTGAAAAAAGACATTCAAGGAGCAGGGTACCCACTACCCAGAGACTGGACTGTGTCATCAGAATGAGAACTTACCGGTACTTCTTGCTACTCTTTTGGGTTGGTCAGCCCTACCCAACTTTCTCAACCCCGTTATCCAAGAGGACTAGTGGTTTCCCGGCAAAGAAACGGGCCCTGGAGCTCTCTGGAAACAGCAAAAATGAGCTGAACCGTTCGAAAAGGAGCTGGATGTGGAATCAGTTCTTTCTCCTGGAGGAATATACGGGATCCGATTATCAGTATGTGGGCAAGGTAGGATTCCATTGGGCGCTTTGACGTTCTGGTTTTAAAGCCTGAAGAAGTTACTCCTAATAAATAGATGGGGAGGATGTGAACTGTTCCCCCAATACAGTAAGAATTGTTGCTTATCTGGTAAGACCTTTTTTTTTTCCCCTTCACTTGAGTAGTTTCGGGAAGAAGACTGTAGCAAGAAGCTGGGAAATGTTAGCAATGCGACAAAGAAAGAAATGCTTCAGTTGAAAAAGAAACGCCCACAACCATCCACATAGGATTATCATAAATCCTTTAATTTTTACTTTAGCTTGAAAAATGTGGTCCGGCTATTCTATAAAGTAGGACGGTATTAAAAATAGGAATAGAGCGATTAAGCTGTAAGGGAAGGAAGGCTCCTTTTTCTCATTCTGAAAGCAAACATTCTGAGCGTCAGTCCTTTGGCCAGGTTCAAAATTAACTACTTCTTAACACTGCTCCCGACAGTGCCATCCATTCTCTGACCAAACGGAGCCCTTTGTCCTCAAAATCCACCACTGCCTCAGATTTGGTTGCCGTTACTGTTGCTACCGCCGCTGGGTTTGTCTTGTCTCAAATAATTGGCAAGAGCCAGGCATTTCGCGAACTTGTGATTTAATTGTGGCAAGGTTCACAAAAGAGACAAATGGTTATGTAAAGGTGCTAGTTCCAAATATCATCTGACCATTTTATTGACTCTAGAAAGTAGAATGAGGAGGCATCACTTATCATAGCCCTTCGAGGTTACTGGAGCTGAGTCAGGGAAACAGCTCGGTTAGGCTGTCATCGTGAGTTTCACTGAAATTTTATCATCAGCTACATTCTTGTTGCAGAGTATCTGCATACTGCAAAGATGGGGGAAAAAATAGAGACACGGATTTGCACTTTTGCAGGGTTCTGTGTCCCACAATATGGTATTGATAGGAAATGTAATTGTCACATACCCTTTATGTAAACAGAGGATGAACATAATAGAAATGATAAAATGTCTTTGTTTATGATTGCAGCTATGATTTTGAAACGACTGTGTTGGGATATCATGCAAATAGCATAAATTTTGCAGATTCCAAGGGCTGCATGTTCACATTCCAATCTGTTATCAGATATCCCTAAATAAGGAGGTGCAAATATTCTCTTTAAGTATTTACCACTATAAATGAAGGAAAGCCACCCATGGCTTGGGCTGAGGTAACCAGGCATTGTTCCAATGGATGAATTATTAATGTGGAATAAAGTAGGAGAGGAAGTATTCAGTGAAGGGGTGAACGTCAACACAGATTCCCCAAGGGTTTAGCCTTGTGTTTGATGTGAAACTCACACGCTGTGTGACTGCTGGAGAAAGACAGTCCCCTTACCTGTACCTCACTCCGTTTCCTTGTGAAATCTGACTGGCAAGCACTATATCAACAGAGCAATGGTTGTAAATAATAATCATCATCATCTTGCAATCTTTAAAGCATTTTCTATAGTACAAATAACATTGTCATAGAAGATTAAGTCGTTTTAAATGCTTTATCTAAGTAATCGATTCCCCTTTCTTTCCATTTTTTTCTTCTAAAATCGTGATGCCATTTTATAGCAAAAATACTACGTATTTTTAAAGAAAGGCTAGGATATTTCAGGATGCGAGAAGCCGAAATGGAGGAAACTGCATAGGAATCAGTTTACCATGATCATTGTGAGAGGTAATATTGCCACAGGGAAAAGTTTTGAGCTGTGGACTCTAGCAGATCTGAGGCTGCGTCACTGCACTGCCATTTGTGTGGCCCCAGCCAGGTTGTTAACCTTCCCAGGCTTTAGTTTCTTCGTCGAGAAGATGCAGGAGGCAGTGCCTTACGTCATGGAGTCGCAGTGTCGTTAAACTAAGAGAACTAGTGGCTGGCACATAGGTGCATAAGGATCTTCTTATTATTGGTGACAAAATCCATGTCTACACTCTATTAATGATTATCTGTAATGCATTGAAGTGGGATATTGATTTTTATATCACTGCAGAAGTAAAATGAGGTAATTAAGGGATCTCTCAGTGGGTGGGCAACGTAGAGGATGGTGGCAAAATCCCTTCCCAATCACAACTTCAACGGAACTAGTCAGAGGTGGATATTTCTTTTGGCAGCTAGACATATTTCCCTACCTCACCATCATCCTTACCTCGTTCCACCTCCTTGTGACACATAAGAGAATATCTGTTGGGGGGAAAGAAAAAAAGGCCAGGGCAAATCACTGAGGTTGCTGTGGTCCCCAGCATTGCTATGTCAGATGTGTTTAAGAGGTTTTCTTGCTCCATTAGCAGGGCATTTCCCCCCAAATCTACCTTTGGGGTTATGTTTTATCAACACATGAAAGGATTTCAGTATAACATACTTTTACTAATTAAAAATAGACCGAAAAAAAAAGTCTGTTCCTCATGTGGCAACAGGTTGGTCTACTTTTAAGTAGATCTGGAACAAAGCATATACCTGATGTTAAGAAACTTTTGGAAAAGAACAAGAAAAAAATAGGATCAGACTATAGCAGAGGTTCCAAAACATTCTTGGTTCACGGTACCCCTATTATTTGAATAATTGGTTTCACAGGGTGCTCAGGACACAAGAAACAGATCCAAACAACTTAATAGGTATTTTTGTTCTAACAAATAAGTAGCTATGGGGGGGGGGGGGGGGGAATACACAGCAATTAACAGAAAAAACGATATTTTGATCTCATTGTGAAATAATCAGAGTTCCTTACTTACAGGATGCGGGCATCTCCTGGGCACTGCACAACTTCTAAGGGTAGACCCTGCCCCTTACTTCCTTTCCACATTGATCTTGCACTGTCCCCGCTTAGCACAAACACTCTGGGGCATCCGGGGACAGCTGACATCACCGAAAGGAAGGTAGCACCACCTACTGTTGAAACGGTGAACTACCCAGTGAACCACCCGGAGCCCGACGGAGCCCAAGTGTCGCTGTTTTGCTCGAAATCCAAAGAAATCCGAAAATGCCTCCGGCCCGGTGGGCTCCCCTTGGCTCAGCGCGCTCGGTCGGCGGGAAGGGGCGTCCCGGGGCCAGGGGAACCTTAAGCCCTGCTGTGGACCGAATTAAGTGGCAGTCCCCAGAGTCTAGCCTTGGGGCCGGGAACGAAGAAGGTGAAGACTGACCCGCGCCCGGGCCCGAGGCCCTAAGGGAGGAGAAGTGCGGCCGCGCCTGGGGGCGGCGGGGGGCCTTGCGCTGCGGCTCCCGGTTCCCGAGGTGCAGGAGGGCGGATCCCGGGTTCCCGAGGTGCAGGAGGGCGGCTCCCGGGTTCCCCAGGTGCAGGAGGGTGGATCCCGGGTTCCCGAGGTGCAGGAGGGATCCCCGGTTCCCCAGGTGCAGGAGGGCGGATCCCGGGTTCCCGAGGTGCAGGAGGGATCCCCGGTTCCCCAGGTGCAGGAGGGATCCCCGGTTCCCCAGGTGCAGGAGGGCGGCGGGGGCCTGAGGTGGGAAGAGGGAGGGAGGGACCCCCGAGGCCGGAGTGACGATGGCGCCAAGAGACCAGGGGACACGTACAACCTAGAACATGGGGCGAGGCGACCAGACCCCTGGGCGCCCCGGGCTGTCCCTGGGTCCCGTGGCCGGTGAGGCGAGCGCAGAGGGTGAGGGAGGGAGGGGGAGGGAAGAGGTAAAGGGGGGAGGAGAGAGGGGGTAGAGAGGGGCAAAGGTAAGGAGGGAGGAAGGAGAGAGGGATAGGGAGGGGGGAAGGGAGAGGGGGAAGGGGGAGGGAGAAGGGAGTGGGGTTAGGAGAGGGGAAGGGGCAGGGAGGGGGAAAGGGGAGGAAGGAAGGAAAGGGGAGAGTAGTAGAGACGGGGAGGAAGGGGGTAGAAAGGGGAGGGAGAAGGGAGGGAGGGAGGGGAGGGGGTGGAGGGAGGGGGAAAGGGGAAGGAGGAAGGAAAGGGGGAGGGAGGAAGAAGGGAGGGGGAGGGAGGAGAGGGAGGAAGGGGGGAGAGAGGGGTGAAGGTAAGGAGGGAGGAAGGAGAGAGAGGGGTAGGCAGGGGGGAAGGGCGAGGGAGGGAGGAGGAGAAAGGGAGGGAGGGGGGAAGGGGAGCGGGGGGGGGGGGGGTACACCTCCTGGGCCCGAGGGTGGGGAAGGCCCCTCACGGGTGAGACGCAGACCGTCCAGATTCTGGTTTATGAGCAAAGTCTCTGCGCCTCCCCAACAACAAGGCGGGGGCAGGTAGGGAACGAGCTAGGGAGGCAGGGTTGACCCGTATGGGTCAGTTCCTGGGCTTAAGACTCAGATACACGTGCAGACTGGGATAAGGGATGGGATTCTTTTCTCCGGACACCTGACCATCTGGGGGCAACTTTCGGCGACTTCAAAGGACCTCGTCATCCTTTCGCTGATGTCCTCTGCCCCTGGATTCCCCGTAGTATCTGATGAGTGAGGACGGTGCCGGATGAGCGCGTCGGCGATGCGGAGTCTCGCCCCCGCCCCCACCCCCAGCCCCACCCCCGCCCCCACCCCAGGTCTGCAACCTGCATCTCAACAAGTTGGCCCAGTGAAGCGTGTGTGCGCACAGTAACACCTCAAAAGCGCTGATTTTTTTTTTTTTTTTTTTTAATGCCTTGGCCGGGGCCTCCCTCCGTCAGAGAATCTTGGTTGGTTTTCCATTGTTTAGGATTCTGATATGGACTCGGCCGCCTATAGGGGGGGCCGCGATGGTGAGGCACCTGCCCTCCCGCCAAGGGGGACAGGAAGGCCGGTGGATCTGGTTCGAAATCCGAAATCCGCCCAGGTTTCCTTTGGCTTGAGTAGACTTCCTAGAAGACTAAGGGGGCAGCATCGTCATTGGCAGAAGGGCCCTGCCAGCTGCCAGTGTCGCAGTTCCTCGATGATCATTGCGGTAGAGACGAAGTTCAATACCAAAAGAAGAACGTAGGTCCATAGAGACTAGATCCTGGGCATGTGGGCATCATTAATACAAAGACGAGGCACGCCTGGGGGGGGGGGGGGCTCAGCGGTTGAGCACCTGCCTTCGGCCT